AGAGAGAGAGGAGACCGACGCGTCGCTTCTCGCATCGATCGGGCATGCCAACCCGGCCTCACCGGCAGAACCGGTCAAAGCCATTTCATCGGATTTGGCTTTGAGCCAAGCTTGCGCACCATTGCCAGCCTTTGCTCAGTTTTGTCGCAGTATATAATAGTCAAGACGCTTCGGGAGGTCCGAGCTGAATGGGCAACCGCCATCGTGGCAAGAGGCTCGTGCTTTGCCCGAGGCACTCAGGTTGGCCGAGCCGAGAGAAAAGGGCTTCACCATCCCCACCCTCTCCTGCAGATGCGAAACAGATTGGAGGATGAGAAGGGCACTGTGCTCGACGAGGGCTGGACTCGACGCAGCGTAGGTCATGTCGTGAGGGTGAGCTGACGTCGAGTGGCAATTCGTGCGGGCAAGATGCGCTTCGCAGCAGCTGAGATCGACGGGCCATTGCAGGATCACCCCGACAAATGGATCAAATGGATCTGTCGGCCAATTTCCGAAAGTGCCGTTACAGTGGCTACGTCGCGCTGTGGGCGTGTGCGTCTGTCTGTGTGGGAGCGTGAGTGTGAGCGTGAGGGCGAGGGTGAGCGTGAGCGTGAGCCGTGGGCGGTGGGCGGTGGGCGGTGAAATCCAATTTCAAGCTGACGTCGTCGTCTGCCTGCTGGCTGAGCTCGAATGCGCTGGTCATGCATATGCACGGCATGCGTGTCACTTTGCTTTTGCCCGTTGAATGTGATCTCGCAGCGGATGACCAGCAGGCAAGTCCTCCGACGCAACACGGGGTCCTTGCGCGATACGGTAGTCGGCCGATGGCAGTCCGTGACAAAGGTCCGATTCCGTTGAAGAGGCGGCGTGGGTGTTGCGTGGTTGAGCGAGTGAGTGAGAGAGAGTGTGAGAGAGTGTGTGCTTTTCGCTTCGCGCTAAGAGCTCGGTTGTCCCCGCGGATTGACCGGCGCTGGTCGGATCACTGCCGACGGCCGACGATCCCTTTCTCCTTTCCATCATACGCCTGACCTTGCTGCTGCTGCACCCTCTCCGCCCACAGCCGCTTGACATGGCAAAGTGCTGAGCTCGGCGTCGTCGGATCGCTCCGCCTTTCCCCTCCACCACTCTGACTCGCCACCAACATGTCGGCCAACACCATACGCGACTATCTCTCGCTCCCTTCCTCAGCCCGCGTCGACTCTCCCGACCAGGTCCAGCAGTGGCTCCAGGCACTCGCTTCCGGTGGAATCTCCGCGCTCGGCTCCGTCAGCGACTCCATACGCTCCAAGCTCACCACTGCCATCCTCAATGACATTGGCGCCGCATCAGGCAAGCGCGAGGGCGACTACCTCCTCAACGTCCGATCCAACGTGCGCTGGAACGCCAACACTCGTCTGTCGGCGCTCAAGGTGCTTAAGGAGCTCAGTCGACTTCCTGGTGGAAGTGCTCCGCTCGGCAAACCAGAGGCGCTGCGCATTCTTCTCCGGCAGGTCGACTTCCCCAAGCAGCGCGTTCGTCGCTTCTCCTCTCCTACCTCGAAGCCAGCCGCACTCAATGGCATCTGCAGCCACAGCGTCACAGCTGATGCCACCAGCTCCAACTCTGTTCCGGTTGCTTCTACCTCGAGCGCCTCCGCTTCTGGCTACTCGTTAGGCTCGATCGCCAAGACGCTGCGTCGGGCGGTCAGTCGGCGTGGGTCCCAACAATCCGAACGAAATGTCAAGGACAAGGACACGTCGCCCTCGTCAGACAGCACCGCAGAAGAGTACGACATGAGTGACGATCCAGATTGGCCGATCACCGACATGGCCCTGCGCTGTCTCAACAACGCACTCTTCCTCAACGAGGATGCACGGCTCCCCTTTTCCGCCGAAGACGTCGGCGGAGGGCACGTAGCCGTTGCCCTCCTTGCCCGCCCCGAGGACACGCCCACCGACATTCTCTTTCTCGGCGCACGTCTGCTCTTCTTCAGCACCTTATTCGAGTCGCCCTTCAACAAGATCGCCGTCACCACACTCAATGCCGTCCGCGTCGAGGCCCGCTGTGTCGACGCGCTCGTCAAGGCCTCCCTCGACAAGGCAGCCGACCGCAATGCTGCATCTTCTGTCCTCGTCGCCAGCGGCACTCCAGCACAGCTCAACACCGCCCTTTCCGACCTGCTCAAGGCCCATTTCAACATCTGCCTCTACTATCCGCGCCTAGCGGAGGCCGAGGCCAAGCAGCAGCAGCCGGAAGCACCAAACGCACAACCGAGCGAGCCGACCAAGACAACAGAGGCGACAGCCATCGTCGGCGAAGCCTTCCACTCGGAACTGCTCGAGATGCTTCCGCCACTCATCTCGGTGCTCACGACTCTTCCACTGCCCTCGCCGGTGCCGCTCATGCCTCCTTTCACGCATGCGATTGCCGCACTGCTCAACTACCCGGTCACACACGTCAAGAGCCAGATCACCAGCGCAAAGCCAAAGTCTGGTTCCAACAACAGCGGCGCAGCGAGCAAGGCTACTTTGACTTCTCCCGTCTCGCCCACGTCGATTGCGGCGCTCGAAAGGGCGCCAAAGTACATCTTGCGGCTCATCATCTTTGCCGATCTCGTGCTGGCGCGCTACTTTGGCGCTGCGAGCACGGCGGTGGACGACGGGCGACGCGTTCCCGAAGACGTGGACGCCAAGAGTGTGCAGCAGAAAGCGAGCAGCGACGGGATCGAGCTCGAGGACACGCTGGAGCCGCTGCTGCTCCTTCTGCGCAAGACGTCATCCGAAGACGCCGACTTGCGCGCCACGCTGTGCTCCATCCTGCTGCCCTCCGACCTGGATCGAAGCGTAGTGCTAGACCGACGGTCGGACGTGTTGGGCCGGCTGGTGCGGCTCATGTCCTCGGTGACGCTGCCGCGCTCCGCGCGGGCTGCAGGCGAGCTGCTGCTCTCGCTGTGCGACGGCGATGCCAAGCGCATGACCGAGGCGATTGGCTACGGTCCGTGTGCGGGCTTCCTCATGAACACGGGTCTGGCCTCGGCGCTGCCGTCGGGGGTTGCGGCGGGGACGGGCGCCAACGGTCGTGCCGTGGATCCGATCACGGGAGAGTACGAGCCTACGGAGGAGGAGCGTGCGCTGGACGAGATCAACCGCATGACGGATGCCGAGAAGGAGGCCGAGGCCGAGCGGCTGTTTGTGCTGTTCGACCGGCTCAACAAGACGGGCGTGGTGCAGGTGCGACATCCGATGGCCGCCGCACACGAGTCGGGGCGGTTCGAGGAGATCGAGGCCCAGACGGCCCAGCAGGAAGCGGAGCGGCAAGAGCAGGAAGACCAACAGACGGAGCGCGACGTCGAGCGCGAAATGGCGGCGCACAAGCGGCGCAAGGAGGAGGCCAAGCTGCGCGCACAGAAGCTGGCCCAGCCCAAGCCGGCGCTCGTAGATGCAGTTGCGGAACAGCAGTCAGTCAAGCCGGTGGAGCACGACGCGCGCTCGGAGACAGCGCCATGAATGCCACGCACACCACACTCCCAAGTCTGACCTTGTGCGCGGCACGGTTGGTGGGGGTATTGGGCGGTGAGATTCGGGTATTGGGCGGTGAGATTACAGTGAGGATTCTGCGTGCTGGATGAGGGGCAAGACGTTGAATGCGAGATGGGCTAGCACGACCAATGCAGCTGCGAGTACGGTTGCCAAGGTGATGGCCTTTATTGGTGTGAGCAGAGCCGCGTCTGGGACGGGAAGGTTGACTTTGAGGGTGTGCTTGTTTGCTGCGGAGGGTGTGAGGACTTGATTGTTGGATTTGGCGAGGTGCTTGTGGGATGGAGGCAAGAGTGATTGCATTGCGGTTGCGTAGAATCCCTCTACATAGCGAGACTCGTCTTTGCATGTGAGAACGAGCTTGGGCTGTTGGATGTCGACCTGGACATAGTCTTGCTTCTCTTTTACCGATTCCGGTGATGATAGGGGCAGGAGCTGGCTTGCCAATCTTGTCCATCCTGACCTCTCTCCCTTTGCTGGAGGTTGATACCTGGTATGCAGGGGGATATCGACGCTCAAGCCATCGTTCCTCCACGAATCCACCTCGACAATCACCGTCTCCACCTCACTGCCTCCGCCACTCCGTCCGACCGCGTGTTCTAGCTCTACACTGCTTGCGAGGTGGACAAACTTGTAATGAGAGTCTTGCTTGCGCGTTAGAGTGTGGCTAGCTGTAAAAGGGTCGAAGAAAACTCCCGCCGGCAGATGCACTAGCACGCTCGGACGACAGTGAGCGACATTTGCCAGCAGTGACGGTGCGATGGAGACGTGCAGCGTAGGATGGAGGCTCGTGGCGTGCGTCAAGCTGGCTTCCATGGTGAAAGATGGTGGTGGTCAATGCGCAACCCCCCTTCTTGCCGAAAAATCAATTGATTAAATAAATAAAACAAATTGGCATTCATTCCCAACCCACCAACTCCTCGCCATATCAAAAACGATGCACATGCAGGAGGATCTTGTGGGCGGCTCGCCGTCAGCTGGATATGCACCACACAGGTGACTCTTCGGCGCTGCTCTGCCATGCGCACTGTCCAAAAAATGACGCCTAGAACCCACCACGGATGGCTACAGCGACAATGATAGCAGTGCCAGGCGGTGTCGACAAGCAACACTACAAAAGTTTTTTTCTCTCTCCCACCACCGAGCTTCATCTCGCCTTGTCCTGATCCCATGCTGGCGCAAATGAAGCGAGGATCGTCTGTGTTTCCCTCGAGCCTTGATCCGGTTTTGAGCTTGTGGAAGCGTTGCTTTCGGACCACCACCTGCGACGATGCGTGTTTGTATTTTGTTGATTCTGCCCCTCCTGGGGCTTGCGCTGGCCGCGAGCTCGGGCGATACGTCGTTCCGCACCGCCGACAGCTCATCGTCGGATCGAGATTCGCGCATCAACCGCGCCCGCTTTCTGCCCACCGCCGAAAATCCGCAGCCATTCTCATTCCGTGCTGCCAGCACCCAACCTCCTTCCGCTCCCGGTGGTGGAGCTTCCACCTCCGGTGTCGCAGGAGCTTCCACTGGTGGACCATCTGACCTTCGCCCCAAGTCGGGACAGTGGAGTGATAGTGGTCGACGCGATGCGGAGCTGCTGCGTTCGTCGTCGGGCAGCGCACGGGCTACGACTCGTCGACCGGGACGCTTCAACGAGGGCAGTGTCGGGTGGAACCCCCCACCGCCTGTAGCGGAGGCGGAGTTGGCTTCGCGTCCATCGCTGGTCGAAGATCCCCCCAAGGCGATGCCCAAGCGACCGGATAGCCCGACTCGTATGGCGCTCGAAGATGTCGCCTCTCGTCTGCACCGTATCTCCACCCGACCTCCAGTCAAGTCTTCGGGACGAAGGGTTGACTTTGTCGATAGTCCGGGGTCGTCGATGCGATCGCACGCCTCCATCGTGACGCCCTCGGATGCAAGTGCCCCGTTGGTGAGCTCGCAAAAGACCTCGGCGGCTGCATCGAAAGACACCTCCCCCCGTCTCGGCTCCTTCCGCTGGCTCAAGAACATCAAGACCCGACTGGTGGATTCCGACTCCTCTCGAGGCACAAGCACTGTTGCAACGACGCCTCCCGGGTCTGCCAGGGCCCAAGCTCCTCCGACGGTGCCGTTTCGACCGTGGGATGCCAAAGCCGCGTTGAGGAAGATCAAGATCAAGGAGCTGAATGGGATGCAGGATCGGTGGCCGAAACAGTGGAGTCACTGGAACCGCGCACGCGCCGAGCTGGACAAACTCGACTACTTTCACCAGTGGGACGATGCAATGGCTTGGTCTTCGCGCAACCGTGTCGACAACACCCGTGCCGCCCGCGTGCCCACTGTCAACGGCGGCGTCACGGGGAGCAACATCCCCACCGGCCCCGGATTCCTCCACAACCCAAACGACCCAGCCCCCCTCCTCGAGGAGGAATTCACACCTCAACATCGAAGCATCAAAGCCTTCCGTGAGCTTGCCGCCAACGTACCCCCCGCTCTGACTTCGCACTCAACCGCAGTATTCGATGCACACGAGCAGGGCGAATACGCCAAAATCGGCCGTGGCTTCCGAAAGGTCCTCCACCCCGTTCAGTACGTCGGCCAAATGCTAGGCAACAAGGAAAGCACCATTGCATTCGAAAACAGCCTCGCCGAAAAAGTGCATGCCAACCTCGCTCACACACCCCCAGAGGCTCTAGCCAGACTCCAGCGAAAGGGCAAAAAGACGGTCCAGCAAATGCTAGGCACAGACTACGCAACCTACGACGACTTTTGGTATCCCCACTTCCACACCAAACCCGCCTTCAAGATCCCCAACCCCCTCGACGTACCCCTCGACCACTTTGACGTCTTCAAACCCTTCTCCGAAGCCGTCGCCCTCCGCCGACCCTAAACCCCTCCCCCCGACACTCTCTCTCTTCCATCACCTCACTCTCGTTTTCTCCTGTCGAATCGTGCTCTGCAATTGCGTTGTGGGCGACGCTAGTCGTTGCCGTTGAACAAGAACCAGATCTCCTTGAAATCGAGCCGATTGCCCTTGACGAGCTTGCTGCCCTCGAGCGCGGCCTTGGCGAGCGCGCGCTTCTTGTCCTGCAGCCGGAGGATGCGCTCCTCCACCGTATCCTTGATGCTGAGCTTGTAGATGGTCACGTCGCGCACCTGGCCAAGGCGGTGGGCGCGGTCGAACGCCTGCTCCTCGATCTGCGGATTCCACCACAGGTCCATCAGGATCACCCGGCTGCACGCCGTCAGGTTCAGCCCCGTACTGCCCGCCTTGAACGAGATGAGGATCACCGTGGTCGCCGCATCCGAGCGGATGCGCTCCAGAGCCGCCTCGCGCTCCGGGGGGCGCATGGAGCCGTCGTACCGCACGTAGCCAAAGCCACGCTGCGAGAGGTGCGGCTCGACCAGGTCGAGGAACGAGGTGAACTGCGAAAAGACGATCGTCTTCTCGCGTGCGTCCGCGGCGCGGATCGAGGTGAGCAGCGACAGCATCTTGCGGATCTTGGTCGAGCCCGTCGAGGCGGCAAAGAGGTCGTGCGAGTGCGACGCCGCGAGCTGCGTACACTCTGCACACAGCAGCCGGCGTGCAGCGTCGAGCGTCGAGGGTGTGGCACCCGGCGGCAGGTCCACCTGGCACTGCTCGCACCGCTTCACCGCCACGCTCAGGCCCGACAGCATCGCGGCCAGCCCGTCATCGTCGTCCTCCTCCGCCTCCATCGTGCTGGGTGCGGGCTTGCCCGGCGCAGGCTCGGCCGCAGACCCGATGGCGCCGGCGTCCGTGCGCAGATTGCCCGTGACCATGGCCGGGTGGTTGCACGCCTGCCTGAGCCTGAGCAGCAGCACGAGCGATGCGATCATGTTGGTCTTGCCCTGCCCTCCGTTTTCGACCTCAAACGCCTTGCGGATCCTCTCCTGCAGCCCTAGGTAGAACTGCCTCTCTGCATCGCTGTCGAAGTCGAGCTCGATGAGTTGGAGCGTGCGCTTGGGCAGCGTGAGGATGGGCGAGCCGTCCTGGGCCTTGGCGTCCTTGGTGCGGCGGAGCATTATGGTCTGGAGCACAAAGCAGAGGCGCTTCATGCCCCAGTTGACGCGGTTCTGGTTGGCCGACTTGAGCGGCTCGCCGATCTTTTCGCGGAAGTGCGCATATTCGTCGAACGGCGGCACGCGCAGAAAGTGGATCAGGCTAAACATCTCGTAGGCGTCGTTCTGCAGCGGCGTGCCCGTGAGGCACCAGCGCGACACGGCGCGGCCGGCGAGCATGAAGCACGCGCGCGAGCACTTGGCCTTGTGGTTCTTGATGTTCTGCGCCTCGTCCAGCACGATGCGCAGCCAGGAAAAGTCGAACAGCGGCGCCGCTGCCGCCTTCTTGGCGGGCTTGCCGGGCTTGGCTGGGGCGCGTGCGAATGAGTCGTCCGTGTCGTCCGAGTCGATGGCCACCACGCTCGCGTCTGAGCCCGAGTCTGCGTCCGAGTCGGCCGTGGTGCGTGGTGCGTTGCTCTTTGCGCCGGTGCGGGACTTGGATTTGGCAGCAGGCTTGGTGAGGGGCACACCCTTGGCACGTGCTTCGAGCGCAGCCATGTAGGTGTTGTACTCGCTCGCTACCGTGGTGTAGGTGGAGATGACGATGTCGAACTTGGCGAAGTGCGCAGCGGACTTTGTTCGCGAAGGGCCATGGTAGAGGTACACCTTGAGACCTGCGTCGGTCTTTTCGGTGACCTCGCGCTCCCACTGCTTGATGACGGCGAGCGGTGCGATGATGAGCGTCGTCTTGGAGGGCATCTCTTTGCGTGCCGCGTCCTCTAGTTCGTCTTGAGCTTCGTCTAGGCTTGCGTTCTTGGGTGCAGCAGCCTTCTTGCCGCGCTTCGTAGGTTCGGCGGGTACGTCTAGATCGATGGTGGCCTTGTCGTTGCCCGGGCGGTTCGAGACGATGAGCGCGAGCGTCTGTACCGTCTTTCCGAGACCCATGTCGTCTGCGAGGATGCCACCTTTGGCGGCGCCCTTTTCGCGCTCGCGCATCCAAGCGACGCCCTGCACCTGGTGCGGGAGGAGCATGCACTTGAGGCCCGGTACGTGTGCGTCTGTCTTTGCATCGTCCGAGACCTGGGTGACGTTGACCATGTTTGAGAGAAGGTCGCGTATTTGCCTTTCGCGCGTGGCCGCATCGATGGTGGGCCCTACGGCTGTATCGTCCGGATAGATGGTGTGCACGGGGCTTGACTGCATGTGGTCGTCGTAGGCGTACGGTTGACGAAGCGGTTTGGAGCGTGATGCGGAGGGAGAGGCGAGGGGCGAATGGTAGAAAGGGTTATTGTTGCGGAGTGGTGGTGGTGGTGGAGGAGTGTTGCTAGGCGAGATGAAGGGGGCGTAGGAAGATTTGGAGTTGGGAGAGCGGAAGGGCTGTGCTGCGGCATAGCTCGACGTTGCTGCGGATGCGGGAGGGCGAGCGGGAGCGCGAGATGAAGATGACGCGGAGGTTGACGGCTTGACAGCAGCGGACTGGAATGGATTGGATCGCGTGGCGCCGATGGGTGACGACTCGCCAAACACGATGGGATCTGTGCGAGAGCCAACGCCTGAGCCAGCGCCGCCGAATGCTGCTACGGATTGCGACTGCGACTGCGACTGCGACTGCGA